GGAACTCAGTTAATAACAATGTATCAATACTGGTTCATTAACTGTGATAAATATATCATCCTAATATAATAATATAATAATATGATATATATATATCATATAATAATATGATAAACTGGGCGTGGGGTGTATGAGAACTCTCTGTACTATCTTCACAACTTCTCTGTAAACCTAAAACTGTTCTAAAATTTAAAAATATTTAAAAACAAATGTAAGCATTATGGAATATAAGTGGAATTGATGCAGTTCAAGTTACTGCCTCTAAAAAGAAAAGAATATGGCCACAGGAATATCAGGAATGGGAGCAGATGGCAGGTGAGGGATGTGGCCAAGGAAAAGTATTATGTTGTGAAAGACAGGAGAATCTTTCACAGTTACATAATTATGCTTTAGAACTGTTCTGTTCTGCATGTCATAAAATGTCTCCAAATATACAAAAAAAGAAAAGAGAAAAGTAAGGCCCTTGAAAGAGCTCTAAATAAAAGTCAAATTATCAAATTCACATAAAATTAAAGAAATTGCTTTCTATAAAGATGGAGCATTATTAGATTCTTTATTTTGAAAAGTCTAGAAAAATGAGTAGCATTGAGAAGGATGAGTAAGGCTGGCTTCACCATAAATGTGATTTAGCTGCCTGTGTGACCACATTTAGGTTACAGCAACAGAGGAGGGTGCTTTGGGAAGGAAGAAAGCTGTGTTCTCCTCTGTCTTTTCTGTTGGTAATCTGGAAGAAGCAGTTAAAGAACAGAGATTTTAGGGGAAGGGGATGTTGAAGGAGACCTCATTAAAGAGCAATTGATGAAATGTGAGCTCCTTCCGCAGCTGCCATGCAGCAGAGCCTGCCTAATGTCAACGTCCATCTCCCACCAGCCTCTGCACAGATCTGGGAGGCCACGGAACTACAAGCTCTGTGACAGGAGAGGTAAATAGGAATGTCCTAAAAAAGATTATGTGGCTGTATTAGTCTGTTTTCATGCTGCTGATAGAGATATACCCAAGACTGGGCAATTTACAAAAGAAAGAGGTTTAATTGGACTTGCAATTCCACGTGGCTCGGGAAGCCTCACAATCATGGTGGAAGGCAAAAAAGAGCAAGTCAGTTCTTACACGGATGGCAGCAGGCAAAGAGAGAGAACTTGTGCAGGGGAACTCCTCTTTTTAAAACCATCGGATCTCATAAGACTTAATCACTATCAGGAGAACAGCTCGGGAAAGTCCTGCCCCCATGATTCAATTGCCTCCCACCTGGTCCCTCCCACAACACTTGGGGATTCAAGATGCAATTTGGGTGGAGACACAGTCAAACCGTATTAGTGGCCAATAAGACTGAGATAACCTGTAATTTACTGGCCCCTAATCTGTCAAAATATCCATCTGCATATTACAGTCTCTAAGGAATGGTACAGTAAATAAACTATTTATTTATTTTGAGCCTCTGTCACCCACGCTGGAGTGCAGTGGCATGATCTCGGCTCACAGCAACCTCCACCTCCCAGGTTCAAGCGATTCTCATGCCTCAGCCTTCTGACTAGGTGGGATTACAGGCATGTGCCACAACACCCGGGTAATTTTATTTTTATTTTTATTTTTAGTAGAGATGGGGTTTCACCGCGTTAGGCAGGCTGGTCTCGAACTCCTAACCTCAGGTGATCCCCATGCCTCAGCCTCCCAAAGTGCTGGGATTACAGATGTAAGCCACTGTGTCTGGCCAAGTCAAAGTATTTGACTTTAATAACTCACCATTGCTCAGACTTATTTGGTCCTGCAATACTCTTCTGTCTTCACAGTAGCCCATTTCCCCCTTGAATAGTGGAGGTGCACTCCAGTTTGGAAAAACTTCCCTTAAAAAGCTACTATGAAGTGACTTTAAAAGTAGGCAAAGCTGTAAGTGGCTGTTTGGGCTGTATCATGGACATGGAAAACTGTAACTACTAGAGTCAGGCAGGCAGAATTCGATGCTCAGTGTTTACTGGCCGTGTGACCTTGATCCAGTTGTTCAACTACTCTGTCTCATTTCCTTATCTGTGAAATGGAATGAATGGAATGAGAATATCCACTCTGCAACTTGCTTTTTTAAAATAAAGATATCTGTCAAGTATCTAGTGTATGCTCGATATGCACATGGTGCTGAATAAAAAGAGTTATGAAGTTGGTGCAAAAGGAATTGCAGTTTTTGTATTGTTGGAATTTGCCGTTTAATATCGGAATGCATTCTTTAAAAAAATGTCGTTGTGTTATATGTCATTTTAATGGGTATTTCTCATTTTATGTTTTTTGCTAATGACGTAATTTGCTGTTTATTTTTGTTTGTTTTAGACTATGAAAATGATGTTAGACAAAAAGCAAATTAAAGTGGTTTTCTTATTTGAGTTCAAAATGGGTCATAAAGCAGTGGAGATAACTCACAACATATATGGCATATTTGGCCCAGGAACTGCTAATGAATGTACAGTGCAGGTGGTTCAAGATGTTTTGCAAAAGAGACGAGAGCCTTGAAGATGAGGAGCATAGTGGCTGGCCATCAGAAGTTAACAACCAATTGAGAGCAATTATCAAAGCTGATCCTCTTACAACTACAAAATAAGTTGCCAAAGAACTCAACGTCGATTGTTCTACGGTCCTTTGGCATTTGAAGCACATTGGAAAGGTGAAAAAGCTTGGTAAGTGGGTGGTTCATGAGCTGAGGGAAAATAAAAAACAATCATAGTTTTGAAGTGTCATCTTCTTTTATTCTATGCAACAACAAATCATTTCTCTATTGCATTGTGACATGCCATGAAAAGTGGATTTTATACGACAGCCAGCAACGACCAGTTCATTGGTTGGATTGAGAAGAAGCTCCAAAGCACTTCCCAAAGCCAAAATTGCACCGAAAAAAGGCCATGCTCACTGTTTGGTGGTCTGCTGCAGGTCTGATCCACTAGTTTTTTGAATCCCGATTAAACCATTACATCTGAGACATATGCTCAGCAAATTGAAGAAATGCTCCAAAAACTGCACCACTTGCAGCCAGCATTGATCAACAGAAGGGGCCCAATTCTTCTCCACAATAACACCTGACCACGCATTGCACAACCAAGGCTTCAAAAGTTGAACAAATTGGGCTACGAAGTTTTGTCCTATCTGCCATACTCACCTGACCTCTCACCAACCGACTACCACTTCTTTAAGCATCTCGACAACTTTTTGCAGGGAAATCACTTCCACAACCAGCAGAATGCAGAAAATGCCCCCCAGGAGTTCATCCAGTCCCAAAGCACGGATTTTTATGCTACAGATATAAGCAAACTTATTTCTCTTTGGCAATAAGTATTGATTGTAATGGTTCCTATTTTGATTCATAAAGATGGGTTTGAGCTTAGTTATAATGATTTAAAATTAACGGTCCAAAACTACAATTACGTTTGCACCAACCTAATACTATCATTGTTGCCTTGGAGCCACTGGTGAACTGTGTGACTCTCCAGCATCATATACGGAAGGCTTTAAATTCTTTAAAGTAGAAATTAAGGCAAGTTTTCATAAAGTAGTAATTTTTAAAGACAGAGTCAAGAAAGAGAGCTGAGTTCTGTTTTAAAATCTGATGTCACTTGTATCCTAAGAATGAATACAATATATTTTGTATATTGCACATTGGTAACAATTATGATGTCATTTATTATTTGAATTTAAAAGAGGATGCTGAATGGAGCTTTTTTCTGTTTTCTTGGAAGTTTAGTTGAAGCCCTAAAGCAGAGAAAATAAGCAAAAGATGCCTCCGCATGCTAAAAAGAAGTGCCTGACATGTCTACGCTGGATCTACTGAGAGAGATTAGATTCTGTCTGATATAATAGGCATCAAAACAATCACTCATCTCCAGCCACCATCAGCCTATGTAAGAGAAGATGATCACCAAGGAAGGAAAGCTGTTGGCCTAGTGGGGCCAGCGTGGCATTTCCTACACAAGTAGTGGGGATCTGAGAGGCAGGCTAACCACAACTGGGGGTGTCTCAAGGAGAAATAATTGGCATCTCACTTCCAGCTCCGTGTTCATTGAGCTGCAGATACTCCAGGGCCCACCAGGTGCACTAAAGTGTAGGAGGTGGAGCATGGCAAGAAGTTGGCATGGGTTTTCCATAGACCAGGGCCCCTGTGAACATAAACGCTGATGCCTGATTTCTGTCTGGAATACTGTGAAGATAGGTAGACAGCTGGAGAAGCCCCTTAACCCACTGATGGAAGGCAGAGAGAGAGCCAGGGCTTCCTCATTTGCTGTGGGAAGATGCATGAAGTCCTCAAGGATGAAGAGAAATAGCAGTTGCAAATGGTCACCAGAGAGAGAGGCCTCTGTGAATCTGCTGAAGAGTTCATTGTCTATGTCAGGGAATGAGAATATCCTGAGGGTGTGCAGTGAGGATGGAGGAGGGCTCCACGGAACCCTAAGTGATGCCCTGACAAATCCAGCACATGTGGGCCTGCCAGAATGGAGACCAGGACAGCCCATCAGCACTGGCAGAGATAGTACCAGTGACACTGGGTGTTTCCTACCTTCCTCTACTTCTCTCCCTTCCCCTAATTCTGAAGCTCCAGAAAATTCGGTGGAGAAAGGTCAAAGTCCTTATATCAACCCTTTCCCACTGTAGGCTTCTGAGCCAACTGTGAGTTGGTGGAGAGCAGACGGATAGAGGGAGAAGCTATGAACTGGTTGTGAAGTTCAAGTTTTGATACTCGATAGAATCAGACCTTTTAATACCCCCAATCAGTCAGGCCCTAACTAAAACTGTTTTCAAAAATAGCTGGAAGTGATAGGAAAACTATGAGCTCTACCTTAAGCTGTCATCAGGGAGTGGGGAGAGGAAATCGGAGACTGCAAAAGTGAAAGTGGTTTTTGGTTTTACCCCAGTGATTAAACTCATTGTAGAAACAAGCAACTGTTATTTGAAAATAGAATATTCTATAGAAAAAGCCTTATTGACAGAACAGGCCATTGACATTTTTTTTCTTGTCCTTCGCAGACATGCAGGCCCAGGGAAGGATAAAGGGAAGCGGTTATGCTTTCTGAACTTCGAACCTGCATAGAGCTCTTCTGCAAGACAAGCTTTGCAAATCCCACTTGACGGCAATGTGGTGTAAGTTGATGGTTTGTGAAGACAGATTTTAGAAAAAGAAGCATGGCATTTTCTGGAAGATATATAACGTTTTGAAGAGGAAGAGGTAAGGACCTCGCATTTATTAATCATTTATTATTTTGCCTGTATACCTGACAACCTGGCAGCGTGATAGATGCCTTATCTCATTGAATCTTTCCTACAATCATGTGAGGTAATTATTCTGAATATACCTATTTTGCAGATGAGGAAGTTGAGCCTCAGGAAGGTTATAGAATTTTCCCAAACTCATCTGGTTAATAAATGTATTTGATTCAAAAGCCATTCTGTTTCTACCACGTTGCATTCCCAAAACTTGCAAAAGAGAATATAAACCCCATCATGTTTAATTTCTAAAGAGACAGACTGGTAACAGATAGTTTACAGCTGTAGCAGGGTTTCTTGTGTTTGTTGTTAAGAAACTTGATAAGAAAGATAGCTGCTCCCTAAAGGAAAGAAAAGGAACAAGTCAAAGCAATATGAACTTCAGGTAAGGTTGAGGCAGTGCCGAGCAGTGTCTGGAAAGAGAATTCTCTAGACTAGATTAAACAGAGTTGAATCCAATGAAGTGGGAACATGGAAGGCCGCAGAAAAGCTGACGTCAAGCAGAGCAAAGGAACAGAAAGGACACTGGGAGCAGAGGTTGTATTCGAATGGGCACAGTCCAGGGTGAGTACCTCTAAGGAGCATCAGTGGCCCCACACCATTGAGGCCCGGCTCTCCTTCCCAAGTTCATCTAGGGGTGTTTGGTGAAGATCAGGGAAGAAGGTTTTGGGAAGCTCTCAGACAGGCTTCTCGGAGTCCCATCAAGCTTTCAAGGCTGTTGCCGTTCCCAAATGAATCTTTTGTGAAACTCTCCCAAATCAGAAAGGTCACCTGAGGTCACATTATGGAGAGCTAGAAGAAGGACATTTTTCCAAATAAAATTTAAAAATTGTTTATTTTTAAACGATCCCTGTTCACTTGGACAAGCATCTCCAAATAAACCAATGGGTTTTGTTTGGGTGTGCTTTTATTAGTGCCGAAGGATACTCCCCTCTACCACTGCATGTAAACAAGCTTCCTACCGTACTCTCATTTCCATTCCTGGAGAATTAAAAATTTTGTGCTCAATTAAAAATCCCTATGTAAGCATCCCCAAGGGGATAGGTTTGGGGTGGGGAAGTGGTCTAAGTCCAGTCTTAGAAACTCTAAAAGAGATGGCCCACCTGCTTCCCTATGTCTGTGTTTCCTTTAACAATCTGCCCTTGCCGACACCTCTGACCTAGAGAAGCTCAGCACAAAACACAGTCCTTGTTTTTTTCTCTATCTCACATTGAGTTGCATCGGGGAGGGGTAAAGCAGACACATTATCATGCAAGACCACAGAGTTGTGGCTTCCAAAAAGGGTCAGTTCTCCTTGTTGCCAGTTTGTCAGTCTTGGCCACTTTTCTCTCTTTGCTCTGAACCAAACTGTGACCACTGAAAGAGAGCACATGTTGTCGTGGAAAGAGCATAGGCTTGAAGTTATAAACCAAGGTTCCAATCTGGCTTTGTATAATCTTAGGCAAGTTACAGAATCTCAGTTTCGTTGTCTGTAAAATGCAGAATCCCTGCATGACTGGTTAGCATTTGAGCTGTTTTAATGATTAGATAAGATAATGTCTGCGGAGCACTCAGTAAGACTCCTGGAATGTGATTAGATAATAGTCTCTTCCTTCCTTTGACATCTTACCTCAGTGTTTGCAGAGCTGCCTGCTGCTCTTTAAATCTGCAGTTGGGGCACCCTGAAAATGAGTAGGAGCCGAGAACACCAGTATGCCCAGATTTCAGAGCATGCTCATTCATTCTGCCAGGTTCCTTCACACTTCCCAGGTCTGTGTCCTGAATTCCTCTTGGCTGAATTAACTGAAATGGCCACAGGAGGGATGTTCTTCTGCAAGTGCTGCTGACACCCGTTTTCATTCTTCTTGACATCAGAGCAAATCTCCATTTCTGATGATGTTGCTGGTGATGGGCTGCCACAGAGCAGGCTCTGATTTGCGAGCATCTTGACAGAATCCCCTTGAGAAATTCCTTGAGTGGAAATGAACTGTTTGCACCATGAATGAGTTTGTAAGAATTCCTTCCAAGCCTCAGGCTCCATCACTAAAGATGGACAAAGTGTGGGTGGCCCCTCTGGTGCTGGGTGATGCTACCATATCTTCAAAAGGCATTTGCACTCTGTACGAAATATGTTCTATGGGATTTTGTTTTGTTAGCATGATGATGAGGATGATGTAATATGATATAAACAAAAACAAAGCATTGATATTATTTTGAAATACTAATTGATGTATTTTTTATTCCTCTTATTTTATTGCTTTGAAATATTAAAACTAGATAGTGAGGCTGAGGTTCCTTGTTTTACAAGAACAGAAAAATATCTGCTATGAACTGAGAAATAAAAATAAAATCCTAAGCCCTTCAATCAACCGCATAGACCTCTTGGCCAACAGGACCCCAGAGTAACCGTGAAAAAAACTGAGTTCTTGGCTGTGGCAGGATAGGAGGTTAGACACACTTCACTATATACCTGTCCTTGCTAACCACCATTAGATTCCTTCCCTAAGGGCTAAACATAAGCCATCTTTTTCAAAAGACCCCACCACTGACATCAGCAACTGCTTAATGCTATCCCTCCTTTTTCCCTGATAAGGGACAATCAACCACAGACATCTGATAAGAGAGTTTCAGTCTATGGCGAATGCACAATAAGAGTTTGTGTGTTCTCTGCTTCACCCTTTGATGTCAGTGTGCCAAAACCTCTACCCTGTGATCATGCTAACACTGCCATTTTTTGTACATGGGATCCATAAAAGGGTATGAAGCTCAGTTGCACATGTGCACGTTCCTTCTCTCATAAATATTTGAAGATTTTAAAAATAGCTTATTGAATGCTTATATTCAGCAACCTCAGTCAGCTTAAATTCCCTTTTCATTTGCCCCTCTCCTGAAGTGTCTGTTTTCAGCTTCTGACCAGAGGCTACACTTCCCAGCCTGTCAGAATGGCCACCCTGCAGGCTGCTTTATGAGAAATAAAGCTCTCCTTTCAAAATTTATGAACTTCATCATTCTTCAGTTGACAGAATAAAGGGTTAAATTTTTGGCTTTGAGTTCCAAATGAGGTGCATGAAATTCAAAGGCAAATCAGTAAATTTAAAAGCCTAAGTCTTTTGATTGATAAGCGTTGTACTTTAATTTTTTTCAAAGAGAAAAGGCTGGAGAATTAGATTTTCCACCACAACCCTTGAGAGCACAGTGCTGGCATCCTTTCCCTGAAGGTCATGCACAGGCTGAGAAGAGGGAGAGCCAGCCCCTAACCCTTGCTGAAAGAATATACCATAAATCACACCTGCTAGAGTCATGGGCAGCAGGGACAGCAGGGCACAAAATGACCCTGAAAGCAGAGGAAGCGTGAAGGCTAGAAGATACTGCTGCCATCACCTGTTCATCCACTCAGCGAACATTTATATGACAGTGAACTGTGTGTCAAAACTGTTCTTGGGATACCACAGGGACTACAGATTCCAGCCATTGGGAGACTTTGGACATAAAATGAATTCAGCAATAACATAACAAAGATAGATTTTTGTCATATCTAAGTCCACAGACTGATGTGATTGGACATTTAAAGCCGTGGCAAACTGATTTGCAATTTTGAAAGCTGTTGTTAATCTTTCTGGGCAAGTTTTTATAAACAAAACCTGCCCAGAATTCTATAGACAAGAAAAAAAAGCTAAGATAAGGTACTCTCATGCAGAGTTCCCCAGCTGTGGATCTGCACCAGCAGTGGCAGCATGGCTGTCACCTGGGAGCTTGTTTGAAGTGCCAGTTCTTAGCCCCTCCTCGGTCCCAGTGAATCAGAAACTCTGCGGGGAAGGCCCAATGATCTGTTAATATGAACTCCAGATGATTCTGTGCATGCTAAGGTTTGAGAACTGCTGCTGTGATAGATAGGGATCACTAACGAAATAAATTAATTTATCCAATAAGCATTTATTCTACCTGAGTCATGGGTTGGCACTGAGGATGTGAAGGCAAACAAGATGAGTTCCCAGCACTCAGGTGGATACTCACAGAGAGGAACATATATAATTACAATATCATGCAACCAGTGACATGAGGCATGTTCAGGTATGGTGTAAGCCCAGAGGAGCCGACTCTTGCCCACACGCCTCCTCGCAGTGGAGGGAAGAGACGGCTGCAAAAGTGAAGGCTGCTCTTCTTGGGATTCTAGGGTGGCAGGGACTGAGAAGAAGTTTCCTCTACCAAGGCCAGAGCTGCCCCTGGTTGCAGAACAAAGTTTCACACCAGGCTGTCTTCAGAAACAGCTTAGAAACATAAGCTGCTGGTTCCAGAGGCTCTGTGTCACTGGATACATGTAAACACACACACATATACTTTCATACACCCACATATACATACACACATACATATGTGTGTGTATATATGTATATACACAGAAACACACATATATACATAATATATATTCAATTTATTTTTATATATAAATATTGTGTGTGTGTGTATTTAACAGGCTCCCCAAGTGATTCTTAGGCACCCAAAAGTTTGTTCTAAGAGATGAAGAACGAATCAGCCTATGAACTCTCCTCTCATTTTTTATTAGTGTTGCTTGTTGAACTATGAGGAAATAGAGGAAATATTTTGCTCAAATTATACAGTCTCCTGTGAAGCACACCTAGGTGGGTGATTTGTCTGAGAGCAATTGCTCATGGCATAGGCAACTTACCTTGTATTGTAGCTCAACTACTATGCTAATTATTGTAGCACTTATTTAGCAAACATTTATTGAATACTGACAGTTCACAATTGCCCACCTTTGCTTGCCTTGACCAATGGGAGTAACCAAACATGACCTTTGCTGTGACTGAACAGAAGCTTTAAATGCCATTGTATTGTATGGTATGGCTGACACTGATCCCTAGTACCATATCTTAGATAATGGCTTCCCCTCTGACCTAGATTCCTAGATTCCAGAATGAGAAGACACGTGGAGCCAAGTCTAACAGAGTCCAGCTGAACTGC